CAAAGTGCTTCTGCTAATACTTTTCCTCCTTCTGATCCAAGTTGATTATCATAAAGATTCAAAGACGTAAGCGTAGTAAATTTGTAAAGTGCATTTGCTAATACTTTTCCTCCTTCTGATCCAAGTTCATTTGAACTAAGATCCAAATAAGTCAATGCGGTGTTTTTGCAAAGCAAATCTACTAATGCTTCTCCTCTTTTAAGGTCAGTGTCTTGAAGATATAAATATTTTAGTGTGGTGTTCTTGCAAAGTGCTCTTAACAATGCGTATCCTTTAAAATTATTATTCCGAAGATCCAAATTTTTTAGTGTGGTATTCTTGCAAAGCGCATCTACTATTGCGTATCCTCCCTTTAATCCAATACTATTATATTGAAGATTCAAAGAAACCAATGAGGTGTTATAACAAAGTGTATTTGCTAGTGCTTCTCCTCCTTCTAATCTAAGTTTATTCAAACTAATGTCCAAAGAAATCAGTGTAGTATTTATACAAAGTGCATCGGCCAATGCTTTTCCTTCTTCTGATCCAAGTTCATTCGAGTAGAGGTTCAAATCTTTCAGTGTAGAGTTCTTGCAAAGTGCATCTGCCAATGCTTTTCCTCCTGATTTAAGTTTATTATCATTGAGATTCAAAAAAGTCAGTGAAGTGTTCTTGCAAAGCGCATAGGCTAATGCTTTTGCCCCTTCAGATACAAGATTATTTTTACTAAGATCCAGAGAAATTAATGTGGAATTTTTGCAAAGTGCGTCGGCTAATGCCTTCCCTCCTTCTGATCCAAGATTATTATTACTAAGAATCAGAGAAGTCAACGTGACGTTTTTGCAAAGTGAATCAGCTAATGCTTTTCCTCCTTCTGATCCAAGTTTATTAAAATCGAGATTCAAGTATTTTAGGGTATTATTCTTGCAAAGAAATTTTGCTAGCTCCTTCCCCTCTTCAATACCAATCTGATTATAACTAAGATTTAAAGAATTTATTACAGCGTTTTTATAAAGAGCCTTTAATAATGTTTTTACACCTTCAGATCCAAGTTTATTAGATCCAAGATTCAAGGAAGCCAACGTATAGTTCATATAAAGAATATTTACTAATGCATTCATTGCCTTGGACTTAAAATTATCGTTGATTTTATATAAACTCATTGAGGTAATAGTGGTGTTCTCATAAAGAGTTTTAAATATTGTCTTTTTGCAAATAAGTTCATTAAGAGATAAATGTTTAAGATTCTTACTAGTTCGTAGAAACATTGCGATCAAAGAATTTATAGTAGCATTTTCAAGCTCACGTCCTTTGTTGTACCTTTCACAATTAAACCACCCACTAACACCATCATAAAAATCATTGGTAATAGATATGATATAACTTGTATATTCAAATAATGGTTTTGGGCGATTTGGAAGTGTAATTTTAAAAGGAATTAATAGAGATTGCTCTTCTGCATTTAAAGTTAAAAGAAGTATTTTTATAAGCCTTTTATCTTTAAAATGATGTTCTGGTTCGCTCCACAGTATTGGTATAATAATTCTACACCAATGACGACTTACAAGTGCACATGAAAATAGGCTTTTATGATTATGCCAGAGGTTGCTAAATATTGCATAGTAACATTCATTTGGTAATGTTATCATATTGATAAATTATTGAAAAATTTACGTACGTACTCTGAATTTATATTTCAACATGTTTCAGAAAAGGATGTGAAACGTTGCTAAAAAAAACCGTATTTAGAAAGAATTATTTACTATATACGTAGTGCGTATACATGGTACGTACGTATGTTCGTTGGTAACGTTAATTTTGACTGCATCGGCAACTGTTTCACGAAGAGATAGAAATTTAAAGGATTTATATAGTATAAATTATATAGAGGTTTTTTTTTTTTTTTTTTTTTTTTTTTTTTTTTTTTTTACCTCCATTAAAGACATCAATTCAACTGAGTAAATGATTTGGGTTATAGAATTGTGAGCTTCATTCTGTGACTCCTGACTAATAAATGCAAACAATTGATGCAGTAATTTACACAGTAATTTACACAGTCATTAACACGCACTTAAATTTGTGGCACCATCGAAAAATGCATAAAAAAGGCAAACAAAAATGATTGCGCTGTATATACTCACTAGTTCATGCTCAAGGCTAATATTTTTGAGCTAAGCTGAACTGACAATGTCATAGGAAACTAGTTAATAAATATGTTAAGCACTTTTATGTATTTTTTCTTCGCATTTTTTACAGTGATTAATTGATCAACGATTGAGCAAGTCAATCGTTTGTTCAAAGAAATTATCTCACCTAATAAATAAACATTGGCTAACCCGATTTTGTACTTGCTCAATTAATTGAGATACTATTTTATATCGGACAAATAATTACAACATTATATATTATTTGCAACAATTTTTGCTATTTATTGTTTTTTTATCACTACTAGTCTTTTATTTATCCGTTAATTATTTCTCTTTCATAATTTTATCACTATCACTAAATTTCATGTCTGTGATAACTGTTTAAATGCTATCAGCCTTTTATTCTCTATTGGTGATTTATTATTTCTATTGTTTCTGACATTCCAATATTACTATACTATATATACTATTAATGTCACTTTGGCTTTACTACTCAATTTCTTATTGATAAGACTATGTTATAATATTCAAAATAGCGCCTACAACAGTCATACTTCTTTATAATCACACTTTTGGGACCATAGAAACTTTTTTAAGAAAATGTTCTTGTAAATAGGTGTGCTTATACGTATAGAGGACTTTTTTATATATTAGATAATAATTGGGCGTAAATATAGGTGTGATTGTAAATAAGGTAGCTGCGCGACGCAGTCGCGCTAGAAACTAGGAACGGAGGCATATAGTTAACAAATAGTCCAAACAAACGTAAGTAGGAAATCCGATCTGTTTCTTCTTTGTGTAAATAAAGTCAGCTGATCAACAATAAAAAAATTTTCGCTCAAATCTTTGGCGATTATTATCACCCAATAAAAAATCCTACGAAAAAAAAATGAAAAATGCCAGATATAAGATAAACAGACAAATTAATTTATATCGGGTTACCAATTTTTGTGTCAAAAATATTTGCTTTTACTATCGTTAGTTATTGCAACTGTGATATTGCGGTTTTTGGGTTTTAAATAATATGTAATTCGTATTTGCGTGCGTAGGATATTTTGTTGATCTATGCCATACTATAAGACGTGATGAATTCATATGTGAAGAATAATGGCGTGATGAAGTCATGCGTGAAAAATAACCAAAATTTGATGAATAAGTCATGCGGACCAATCAAACTTAAGATTTTGCGGACAAATCCCACTCCAAACAGCGTATAAACCATACACTCATTGCATTCGTTCCTGGTATTAGGATATCATAATAATCTACGTAGTAGCAATCAAATCCATCAAATTCGGACAGTGATATCTTGTGATATAGAGATAATTTTGGTACCATCTGACTCGTCTTGACAAGACGATTAGAATGCTACCAAAATCGCACGATCCAGGCCACCAGATCACGAGATATCACTATTCGAATGTGATTGCTAAGACACCCAAATTTGATTGTTAGAATGTATTGTTACTATGTCTGAATTTGGTTGCTAATATGTCCGAATTTGGCAGTATTAATTGGACCTAGAGTTGCAGGTGAAACTAATTTTCAATGGTGCGCCGATGGAGCATCAGGTGAAACTGGTGAAACTGATGCAACGATGATGAAACTAGATTTATTAGTCTTCAGTGTTACACTGTTGGTGCATCAGTTTTTTGGTGAAATTAATTAGTTTCACCTGCAACTCTAGTTGGACCTAAGATAAGTCATGCATTTAGGGAGGCATTTCATAGAATGTGCACTTAGGTGGCTGCATTTAGGGGTCTGACTGTGTTTATTAATACGTATGCTTATCTAAATTTTTTTAAGGGCACTATAGAATAAAAATATACATTTTTATTTTTCATCTGTAACGTCAAAGATTTTATTTCAGAATGTTTAACAAAAAACTTGAAGATTTTATATCATACGAAAAAATTATTCCAATACTAGGAGAACAATCCTGTGAAGGAGCATTTAGTATTATCGAACCTGCGGAATATAATAGAATCAAGGTTGCAGGTATTTGGTTATAAATTTCCATCCTATTTACACAAAAAAAAAATAACAATCTATCTCATCAATGAAATTTGTTGTGTAGTCAAAAAACCACGAAAAATAAATAATAAAAGAAAAGAAATATCAATTGATGAAATTCGGAAGCATGATTATTTTTACTGTAAAAATGTTATCAATTTTCGCGGAATAACAAGGTCACCAAATGAAATAGATTGTTTGGTAATGGATTATGCAGAAAACGGAAATTTGCATAAATATCTTTCAGAACATCCACTTGAGTTGGATGTAAAGTTAAAGATGTCTATTAATATTGCAGAAGGATTGTTCGAATGCCATCGCCATAAAATTATGAATTTGAATATAAATTCGGAAAATATTTTAGTGGATAAAAACTTAGAATTAAAGATTGGAGGCTTTGGTTACAATATAAACAGAGATTTTGATAATGAAGGTAGGTTAAAGACTTCAAAAATTGTTAGTTCATATAATTTCTAATCTAATTTTGTGTACATACAGATTTTGTGCGATGGGCTGCTCCAGAAAAATTTTCCGAAGATTCACAATGTAAAGAGAATCCAATACATTCAGGTATATTTAAAGTAATAAAAGTTTATAATATTTATAATTTTTATATTCCCAATTAATAAATCTTTTTATTTGCAGATATTTATAGTTATGGATTGGTTGTATGGGAAATTGCAACGAATGGCAAAGAGTATGTTCACTCATATACAATATTTGAAAATATATAATTGAATCTAACAATATTGTTATCTTGTAACAGACCCTATGCTGACAGAAAAAATGACGAAATCAAAAGCACTAAGACTTCTGGGAATAATGATTATTTGATTTATGAACTTGAACAAATAGATACTCCAAACCGCTTAATAAAAATAATAAAAGACTGCTGTAATTCAAATCCTTCTATGAGATCAACTTTAGCAAAAGTTATACTTGATTTAAAAAGTTTGTACGATATAAAATCCAAAGAAACTCTTAAAAATGATCCCCAAAAGCTGGCATTATTTTATTTCAGAGAGGAAAAATACGAAGATCTGATTCAACATTTATCCAAATTATTAGAAGTTGACGAAAAGAATGCTTTTGCGTTAAAGTATCGTGGTGCTGCTTATTATTTTTTGAAAGAATATGAAAAATCAGAATCTGACTTTATTGACTCACTTTTTCTTGAGAAAAATGATCCATTTACATTAAAATACCTTGGAGCAGTTTATAGAGAAATGGGGGATTATGGACAATCGAAAGAACTCTTAACAGAATCGCTAAATATTGAACCAAACGATTCATTTGCATTGAGAGAACGTGGAGCAGTCTATTACTTTCTAAACAGATATGAGGAATCACTTGCAGACTTAAATAACTTACTAAAAATTGATTCGAATAATATTTCTGCAATAAACTATTTAAGAAAAATTTATCTTAAGCCCAATGAAAGACTTGATGACAGCAAAAAATTTGCACAATCATTGAGGCAACATGGAGAGTCACATTTCGAGATTAAAAAATATAACGAATCATTTACATATTTTGATACATCATTAGATATAGAACCAGAAAATGTATCTGCTTTATCGTATCGTGGTTCTATTTATCGATTGTTTTTCAAGAAACTTGAAAAGGCACTTGTAGATTTAGACGAAGCATTAAAAATTGATCCAAATTATGAATTTGCATTGAATGAACGTGAAAAAACTCGTCAAAGTATGCGTATGAATGATAACACTACAAGGTAGTATTCTTTATTATAGCTTTATACAGATATATTGACATAATGCATACGGCTACGGGTTTAGTCAAAATCCTGACATTCAAAAAAAGTTTTCCTTGAGCACTTTACTATATAATCGCCTAACCCTAATCTAACGTGAATGAAAATAATTTTTTGTTGTCGGGATTTTTTGTCGGGACTATAACCAGTGTTGTACATTTTCATTGTTCAAAGATTTTGAGTGAAGTTTTTTTGATAACTATTAATTAAAGTCGATGACTTTTTTTCTTATTTTAATTCTAGAAATATATAGAATAAAATAAAAAATTTTCATCGAATTTGATCAGATAGTTTTCAAAAAAACTTCACTCAAAAATCTGGACAATGAAAATGTACAACACTGACTATTTGTATACGCGAAGTCGTGCAATTATGTGTACATACGTACGTACGTTGCGGTCACTTTTAAAATCGCCTTCATCAATATTATACCTTTAGGTCGCCTCCCAGAGAAGATTGGAGACTATTCCTGCCCCGAACTAATGATGACGCGAAACTGCCAGAATATACAAGTATACAAAATTGTTCCGACAAGGACTTAACTTGGGAAGAAATCTTTACGTCGCCAGGAAAATTAAACATAGAATTTCTCGAAAGAGGTCTACGACTTATGATTTTAAAGATTGAAGAACATGACTCTGAATTCTTCACCAATTATTTGAAGAATGACCTCAGCAAAGATGATAACGGTCTTTGGCTCTTATTTTTTGAATCCGAAAAATGTGATCTAGAAATTGACAGAATATATTATGATAAAAATTGTGGTTTTATTCAATTCAAAGAAGATGATGAAAAATATTCCAAATTAATGTTTGATTATTTTGGTTTAGATTACAAGAAAATTGTTAATGAATCAGAACGATCTATTATCAATTTCCGAATTATTTATGAAGCAGGAATTATAGATAAAGAGAATTCTGTTCAAATAATGGATCCTGATGAATACAAATTCGAAAAACAAAAAATTGAATTACGTAAAAAGGAGTTCAAAGATAAAGCAAAGAATATTAGCACAATGTACTCAGCTATTGAAAATCATATTGACGAAGCACAATATCATCAAAAAATCGAAGGTATTAACCTTGAAATGCTAAAAGAAAAGAAATATTTTAACCATGAAGAATGGAATAAAAGACTTATATGGCTAAGCGATCGAGCTAATTATGCTTTATTTCGATTTAAACTGAAGAAAAGCAATTTAGCTTTATTAAATAAATATTTCTTCAAAGATAAGTATATTTTGAATCATCCACAATTGAATGATGAAACTGAGCTGATTTTATATGATAAACGTTTTCAGTTTTATGTCTCATCTGAATCTCTGCCAGCATTCAAACAAATACCAGATGATTTAAATGTTATAATTAGTATAGTTGATGACTATGATAAAACTTTTCATCAGCATTATTCTAAATATAAAGAAATTCAATTGAAGGAATACGTTTATGATAATAGTATTCCATTCATTATTTACATGAGAAAAATTTTGCAATATGAATCATATCTTTCCATAATCACTTTAGAGCATGCTGCAGAAATTTCTTCCTGGATTGATCGACGTTCAACAACGTATAAAATTAAAGAAATTCCATACGAGTTTAAACTTTTACTTAGGGGTAGTCGTGATGGATTTGGTTTTGAAACATTCCATAAATTATGTGATTGCATACCTAATTTAGTAGTTGTTGTAAAAGTTGAGAATTCAAATGAAATACTTGGTGGTTATAATCCTCTTGGCTGGAAATCTAGAAATAGCGAACCTACAAGTGCACCTGATAGCTTTATTTTTTCTTTTAAAAATGGAAATATGCAAGAAACTATTCTTAGTCGTATAGATGATAAATCAATTGCAATTTACAATAATCAAGACTTTGGTCCATGGTTTTCTAATTTTGGTTTTCAAAAGTATTATAACTACAAAGAATGGTATTATAGTAGACATCGTAACTTTTACCAACCGCAAATAAGAAGTGTGGATGGATATTTTTCAATAGATGATTATGTAGTATTTCAAATATGTAAGAATGCATAATTTCTAATACAAATGAATTTGTACATAGCTTACATAGATAAAAAAAGTACTGCATAAATTTTACAGTCCTTATAATTATAAATTGTATTGGGGCAAATTTGTAAAAAATTTTAAAAATTCTTAAATAAAATAAAAAATTATTAATAATATGGGTATATATATTATTTTATGGCGTTAGTTCATGGCGACCCTATATGAATAGCCAATCAAATAAGTTGCTTACTATTGGCCAATTAAAATTAGCTAAAAATTTTCTAAATTTTTAATAAAAAATAAAGAAAAAAATATAATTATTAATCCTAAAATGTGTTTGGCCGCTATATATGTTCCGCGTCATTTTGGAATTCATGTCGATTCAGAATTGACATATGTCATTTGTGAATTGTAAAATGACATACGTCGTTTTAGAATCGGTATCTATTTACCGATTTATATAAAAAAAATTAAAAAAATAAAAATAAAAAATCGAATTAAAAGCAAAATGAATTAAAAAAAATAAATAAATAGATAATTTAAAAAGCGAAATAAAATAAATTATTTTATCCGATAGCTTACTATGATCGTACCAACAGATAACTCGAGTTATTTGATGGTGATTGCGTCATCACCATCAAATAACTTCGTTATTTGATGATGACGCAATCACCATCAAATAACTCGAGCTATCTGTTAGTTCAGTCGTCGTAAGCCATCGGATAATACCGTTATTGAATGCTACACATCCAATAACTTGCTTATCTGGCAGCGAATTTAATATTGACATTTCTGGGCCCCTTTGGGGCCCAGAAGCTGACATTATTAAATTCCACAGCCAGATAATGCATTATTTTACAAATAATTCCGTTATTGGATGCGAAGCATCCAATAACTATTTAATATGCATGCTAAATATTGTGAGACCCGAAACCCGTGATCGATCACGTGAAAAATGCTCGAAGTGCAAATAATGCCATTTACGATCGAAAACGGTATTTCAGATGCGAAGGGGTAGATAGAAAGTAAAGGGAGGATGTACGTACAAATTAACCATCCTTAAAAATATTAGGGAAATAATTGAAAACAGTTTTAAATAGTTTTATAGAATATTAAATGTAAAGTCGCATTTGTAAGCAATGGAAATAATCAATATAAATAAAGGCCAAGATGGCCCACGAAGGGATGATGCTTCATCTTTGCTTTAGTATAAAAATAAGTCCACACCTTATACACTGTCCATAATATTACATTTACACTATACCTAGTATAAACCCTATAAACTCCATAAAAATTGTTGTTCATTTAAGTTCTTGATCACGTGACTTAACCGACCCTCTTTCATTGACCAAGTAACCGAAGCCTTAATCACCCACCAGCCAAATCTAATACGCCTCTTTCGTAAGTTACTTACCACAGGTTACGTGAGTTTTTGGATTGTGGAGTGACCAAGTCGCAGTTTTCCGAATCTAACATTTTGGTAGTGACTGTGAGATCTGAAAATCAAGCAATGATGTTCACTACCACTCCCTCTCCCGATTTGAAAAATTGAATTAGCAGAAAGAAAGCCCAATTAACTAAGAAACCTACCTAAGTGGAATAGAAGCTTAATATTAGAGACACACTAGAAAGCATTCTTGCACAATTCAAGCCTTCCATAATGAATGCCGCCCAACTTAAGAAATTAATCGAGAGTATGACCAAGTCCTTCGAAGATGCAGCACAGGATATCATTAAAGAAAATGGGTCCAGGTCCAAAGAAACCAACCATGTGAAGGTTAGAAGTTTTAGTGGAGGTCACGATGAAGACTCTATCGAATGGTTTGACAATTTCGAGCGCACTACAGAAATGAATAATTGGACAGAGGAAAGAATGCTTAAAATAGCCTCTGGCTATTTAAAAAGGTTAGCATCAGAATGGTACAAGGATACTAAAGCAGATATAGAGAAATGGAAGAATGATAATAAGCAAGACAAGAGCTTTTATCACTTGCTAGTGGCTTTTTTTGCTACTCCAGAGAAGCAGCATAAGTGGCATATCCAATTAAACAACCTTGCCCAACTTGAGAATGAAAAAGTGGATGCCTCTACCACCAAGTTTAAGAAACTCTTGAGCTGTGTGGATCTGACTGACTCTCTTCCCAATTAATATATTGTAAAAATGTTTCTAAGTAGGCTGAAGTGAAAAACAGCCAACTTCATAGCAATAATGTTCCCGAATAACCTTAACGAAGCCATTGCAGCAGTAAGGAAAGTTGAAGCTGGCAAATATTATAGTGCTCACCTACCCGAAGCTTTAGTAATTCCTGACTAGTAAAGCAAGTGCAGCAACTATCAGTTAACTACATTGTGGCAAATAACCAACAAGAAAAGGATATGCATGAAAGGAAAAAATATAGGGAGAACTCCAAGCCTAGGAAAGAAATCGTCTGTTATCGGTGTGGTAAAAAGGGGCATATTGCTCGATATTGTATGTTAGAAAAAAAGTCCTGAGAACTTAATAAAGAAGAAAGATGACTGACAGATAACGTTAGAAGAGTAAACTACTGTGACTATAAATATGAAGAGGACAAAGTATATGTTGTGGATAAAAGGAAGCAGCAAGCACAACCCGATACTGCCAAAAAAAGATCTAGGTTACAGCCAGAATCAAAGTGTAATAATAGACTCTGGACCTGACCTGAAAATGAACCACTACTAGTAAATGTAGAAGACCATGTAGAACCCATAAGGTTGGATGAATTGAAACCAGTCAAGAAACAAAGGCAAAAAAGGGAACTATCTATTATTGATAGGCTTGTACCATATAATATCACAGAAGACTTGTTGAATTCAAAAGCAAATACCATTATATGGCAACTACTTCAATATCTGAACCAAAGATAAAACTTGGCTCAATATTACATTGACTCTTGTAGCTCAAAAACTACAAGAAACCAAATAGCCCACAGAGCTCAGAAAATTCATGTAGTAAACTTTAGTAATAACCCCTGAACTACTGCCGCCCATTGTTATATCAGGATTAAAGAGAACTCTATACGAGCTGTACTGGACTCAGACGTAGCCATAAGCATAATTACGAAGAAACTCATAGACAAATTAAAGTTAAAAATAGACAAATCTTCATCAACGGTAGTAATTACTGCTACCAGAACCAGGACACAAGCGTTAGGCCAAATTGAAGATATAAAAATAGCTATCCAAGATATACTCCTACCTAGCATCTTCCAAGTAATTGTGTCTGCAAATGAGACCCTATTACTTGGCAATGATTGGTTTTAAAGAGCCCAAATGAGGATTTACTTTAACAAACAATGGCTACTTCTGAAATACAACGGTCGAAGAATCAAAGTACCTATCTATAATAATAGGACAAAGAAGTTGGAAATCCTAGAAGAAAGAGACTAGCTCAGAAGTGATAGCAGAGACAAATTTGACGAATACACCTATGAGAATGAGGAACTAATTGAAGCAGAGAGTTACTATAAAGAAGAAACTAGTGAAGAAGACAATGAGTTGTTCTATAACCCCTGAGAAGGAGTAACAAACCCAGCCTTGTATTTAATGAACATAGAAGAAATGCCAACAAAGGAAGATGACGAAACTGAACTTACAGTAGAAAAATGGATAGAGCAATTCTTGCAAAATGACAACCTGGATAAAGAGGCAAAGAAGAAGGTAGCATTGTTCTTTAAGCAAGAAAGAACTTTATTTGCAAGTGATATGCAAGAACTTGGAGAAACAATGATGTTAACCCACCAAATCGAGACTGGCAACACTAGGCTGTTGAAGCAGAAAGTGTATAAAGCATCACCAAGCGAGCACAAATTTATCGAGAAGAAACTAAAAGAGATGTAAAAAAGATGATTAATTAGAAAATGAATAGCCTGTGGGCTTCACCTGTAGTCATAGTTTTGAAGAAAGTGAGAAGTTACGACTATGCATGGATTATAGAAAATTAAATGAAGTAACAAGAAAAGATTCTTACCTGCTACCCCGTATAGATGATTTATTAGAGACCTTTAGTGCCACGAATTAGTTTTCTAGCCTGGACTTGAAGAGCAGATATTGGCAAGTCAAGGTCGAGAAAGAAGACAAGGAGAAAACAGTCTCTGTAACAAAAGAGGCCTTTATGAGTTTAATGTTATGCCATTTGGTCTTTAAATGCCCCCACTATTTTCTAGCAGTTAATGGATCAGATCCTAGAGGAGTATATTTGGAGATTTATAACCATCTATATAGATGATATCAATGTTTATTCGCGCAACTTTGACAAGCATTTAGGGCATCTAAAGAAGGTTTTTAAAAAGTTAGCAGAAGCAGAGCTAAAGATTAATATAGAGAAATATGAATTCTTTAAGCCTACCATACACTTCCTAGAGTATATCGTTGAATAGCAGGGTATCTCTTAATTAGTAAAGATTTGCAAGCAAATTTGGCTGTATAATTACTATAAATATGTCTATAATCTACTTTTTTAATTATTTAAAATATTTAAATAAAATTTAATATGATAATATTTGAAAATAAAGATTATATTTTTG